GACACAAATGCTCATTCAATCATATTTAAGGAAGTGGCACGTATAGTGAACAATGAGGGCCCAGGTTGCTGGCTCGCAGAGGTAGAAAGTTCAGGTCCAGAAAGTACAAATGTACACCAAGGTTTTGTTTCAACTAACCAGATGAGTATAAAGAATCACAGTCACAGGGTAGTCAGGTGGTTGGTTGAAACAAAACCTTGGACTGGATTTGTGCTTTCTGGAGCTGAATTTACCACCTCTGCAGGCTTGTTGGACATTTTCAGTACAGCATATGCTCACTAGGTGGCAGCATTGTCTTAAATATGGAACATACTCTTCTTTTCAGCCTGGTGGCCTGCTCCTTCCAGAAGGTACACTGTTCGCTTCCACCAAGCCATCACTCAGATCGACATACTTCTCATTCATAATCTAACTTAATAGCCACAAGTCTATACCTACTTGAGCTGAAAGGTATACAGCGGAAAGGGGAGCCAGACGAGTATCTGAATCAGCCCCCATAGGCATGACAGGTCTTCTCACAATTAAAGACAACTGCCTATGTACGGAGTCCATCTGCCAGGGGCATAAAGCTTGTTATGTGTCTGCCCTAAAACTGTTTGGTCAGACTCAGCTCCCAGGTGCCAAGCGCCCGGGACAAATCAGGAATGCCAGGCGCAGAGCCTATTCTCCAAGATTCCCACTCCGCAGATGGCCATTCCATGGCAGTGCAGCCGCCCTCTTCCAACATCTGGACTCATATTTTCTGAGGGTAATTTGATACAAAATATCCTCTTTAAAATTTAATGACTTCATTTCAAACTTTTCTGTACTTTTAGTGGCTAAGACTAAGGAAATACATCTTTAGTGCAGTACCTCGTGCAAAGGATCCCCTATAAATTATGCAGCTGTTTATAAAACTAATGTTTTATTAATAATAATTTTGAAATCCCCCAGCACCAAACGTTTGTCAGTACAGTAATGCAGGTCATGTCCGTGGACTGTTGCCTGGCCATGATTCTACAAACCCCTAATGAATCAGTCCTGTGTAAGTTTTACATGGTTATATGACAAAGAAAATTTTTCTGATGACAAAGAAGGACTGGGTGGGTGAATCACATGACTTTTACTGTTATTTACACAGAAAGAGTGTCCTCTGCATGCAAAGTCCCACACACAACAGGAGGCTGTTTACCCCTGGGGCGGATAATTATGACTTTTGTAGAACCAGCACCTGGGCCTGAAACAGCTGTTGAAACACCACCCTCCCACATATATTTGGGGGGAGCAGGCTGAATTCCCAAAAAAGAGTCACAATAAAAGAACTTTCTGGAGAAGGGGCTCTGTACCCTCTGCACGCACTATTATCCACTGAGAGACGCCGCACTGAAGGCATTTTAGAATTTAAAAAATGGCTTCTTAGGATGAGTGGGACAAACAAATGATAGGGAGCAACATTAAAGCAGGCCAGTGGGGGGCGCCAGGCACACGAGTTCTGTAGGTGGAATCAGTGATACAGTGACAGGGAATTCACCAGATTATCTGAATGAACACGTAACAGATGTCCTGCATCCTCTCGCGTGAGGAGAGAAAATGCAAACTGTGGCCAAATCACAAGGAAAACACCTGCAAAGCAGAGCCAGGGTTAGACAGCCCAAATCATGCAGAACTTGCAGCCTGTTCCACTCCGAAAATGTGTTGCATAAGCATCCCACAGAGCTTAATTAGTCCAGTTGATCTACAAGTTAATGTAATTGCTTACGAAGTGTAATGTGCTGAGAGACAAAGGAATGTGGATTTTCTTGAAGCGGGGGAAGCCCCCTCTTCCCAAGCACATGGCAGTTCTCTCATTTCAAGCTTCCTGTCACTTCCTGTGTTACTGAATGGTTGATTCAGTTTTTCAGGTTGGAACGTAGGGGGACACTACTTGGGCACTCTGCTGTTTGATTATTTGTTACGGCGTCACGCGAGGCCAGCCTGTCATTTAGAAGACAGACTGCTAAGATGAGTGGACCCATTCTCACCTGCTCCGTACACTTGTGTTCCCTTTTTACAATGTGGCAGCATGTCACGCCGCAGTGGCAGAAACCCTGACGTGAAAAACAAATAGCGGAAGACAGATGCCAAAAGTTAATCCACATAACTTTACCCAGCTGCCCCACCACCTTAATTATATGGGATCTGTGTGCACACAGGGGGTTATACACTGATGAAAAGATGCATGAGATCATGTGGAAAAACTGAAGCGCCGTGATCTCACAATTAAGAAGAACAAGGGCTCTTGCATTCCCTCTACAAATACGTCCGCACTTCGGATCTCCCCCGGAGCCAGGGAACGGGCGGATTTTTATGAACAGGACTCCAACACGCTTGTTAAAATTCCTGCTTTTAGGACCTGCTGGCGCAAGAATAAGGCAAATGCCTTGACACCAGTGTATCAGCCTTTAAAACAAGCTCAGGCACTAAACCCGCCTCGCACAACAGAAACGTCTGAGTGCAAGTTATAAAAGCAAGCGACCCCCCCCCCCCACACACACACACCCCCCAGGGAGAGGGGGCATGGGGGCCGCAGGAAGGAGCCTCGCCAGGGGCAGGGATGTGCTGAGTGGGGGCCGACCCGGCTGCTTCATGCCGACCTGGTTCCGGTCCCAGAAAAGGCAGAAGGATTTAATGCAGAGCCTTACAGCAACACTGCATTAGCAAATCAACACAGATCTAAGTAATTACACTTACACGAATATAACGACAGTGTGTTAAAACATGTACATCCTATATGTGGTATGTACAGATGCCAGAAAGTTCATCTGAAATGCAAGATTTACAGTGATATAATTAGAGTCATTTTGTGAACATTTTAACATCCATCAAATCAAAAAGAAAAACGTAATTTTAGCTGTGAAAATGTTGCTCTAAATAAGTTTTCCAGTGATCATTATTGCTGATTTTCATCAGGGACATGCCATCTCTGTGGCATCTTTTATCTATTAATCCTTACTTGCACTGTCAAGCAGATGTCACTGTTTCACATGAAACTCCCCAATTGATTTCGCCTCTTAGGACCGAGCAGGACTATCACCAGACCAGGCCATTGCTGCGGCTGGGTAGGACAGTCACTGGGCTGGCCAGACTGTCACTGGACCAGGCCACTGCAGTGGTTGGGCAAGATTGTTACTGGATCGGACCATTGCTGTGGCTGGGCAGGAATGTCATCTAGCCAGGCAGGACTGTAACTGAGTTAGGTCATTACTACAGCCAGGCAAAACTGTCACCAGGCCGGGCAAGTCTGTCACTGGACTGTGCCATTGCTGCAGCTGAGCAGAAATGTCACCAGGCCAGTCAGGACTGTCATGGGGCTGGGCCATTACTGCAGCTGGGCAGGCCTGTCACTGAGTTAGGCTACTGCTACAGCAAGGGAAAACTGTCACCAGGCCCTGCAAAACTGTCACTGGACTGGGCCATTGCTGCAGCTGGGCGGAACTGTCACCATACCGGTCGGATTGTCACTGGGATGGCAGGACTGTCATCTAGTCAGGCAGGACTGACACTATCATTGCTACAGCCAGGCAAAACTGTCACCAGGCTGGGCAAGACTGTCACTGGACTGGGCCATTGCTGCAGCTGGGCGGAACTGTCACCAGGCCAGGCAGGACTATCACCGGGCTAGGCCATTGATACAGCCAATACAAAATTGTCATCCAGCCCGGCAAAACTGTCTCACTGGACTGGGCTATTGCTGCAGCTGCACAGAATTGTCACCGGGCTGAGCAGGACTGTCACTGGGCTTGGCCATTGCTGTGGCTGGGCAGCTATCCAGATTATTGAACAGTTTGATGTTATTCTTATCTATTACTCCATTATGCCCTACGAATAATGTTGGTCTGGCTCTAAAGGGGGTCTTGTATGAGTATATAGGAAAATTAGGAATATTACGCAAACCTAAAAATGAACGTAAATAATTTGCAGAGCAGAGAAGGGCAGTAACCATTCCACATTTCTGCATCTAGGGAACATTCCACATGCATTATCTGACATGATAAAATACTTGACGAAAAGTTACGTAAAATAGCTTAGAAACAATGGTAACATTAGTAGAAAAGCATCCGAGTAAAATAACCAAAGCGGTCAGGTACCCTGCGGCAAACTGGCAGGGATATTCTGTATAAACTGAGACGTGCATTTCACCCACGAATATGCTATTTTTAATTATTTCCATATGAGCGAATATTGCCACACTGCTCAAATTTAATACATTTTGTCATAAAATAAGGATATACGCAATATCTATGCAGCCTACATATCTTAGTTTTAAAAGCTTATTTTATTTTTAAGTTAATCATTATTAAATATTTTGCAAGGATTTAAGAGCTCCAAATCGCAATCATAATGTAACGCAAAATTAAGCAGTTGACTGTGATATTAACAAAAATATATTTATATAACATCAATAATTAGCATAATTTAAATCGCAGGCATTTCGAAAAGGTGCATTTTGAAGCACTACTTATAGTAACAGCTTTACCTATTCTTTTAGCATAACAATCAAATTACTAATATTACACACGTAGTTTGGTAAATTTTTAATATAGCCTATGTAAAACAACTGCCCGTCCCCGAGATATGAAATATATTGTACACATATGATTAATTTAGCAGCGCATTCCAGTAGTATATTTTAACATTACTGTACTTTAATATTCAGCAGCGATGTCTGTCCTTTGACCAAAATAAACATTAATACTGCTTAAAATGTAGAATTATTTTTCTATTTCCTGGGTCAACACAGACCGGATAAATAATTCTTCTGTTATTAATTTTCGTCGAACCCTGCATACAGACAAGTAAGGATACTAAAGAGTAAATTAATTAACTGACTTTAATATAATCGTGATCAAACATTTAGAATGATAAAGGATAATATGAAATGAAAAGAGCCGAGACGCGCAGATATACGGTAATTTGGTATGAAAGGCGCATCTTATCCCGTCCGCGTTACTCTCCAAATCCACTCTAGTCAGACTGTAATGAAACTTTATGTAACTTTTTGCCGAGCCCCGCTGCTGAATCGTGCTGGTCCGGCCCATCTGCTGCAGCAAATGGTTGAACTCACCAGGGAAGAAGTGGAGGGGAGTGAGAGAGACACAGAGAGAGAAAGGGGGAGAGAAAGAGGGAGAGAAAAGAGGGGGATCGGATTGAAAACAGATCAGCCCGGAGACTTCTCCACCGCACGCCTAAAAGCAAGCGACACTAAAACTATTCTCTGGCTATTTTAGCGCTGCATTTTTTGGTCCGTAAGTAGGTTTTTTTCGATGGAAAAGCATGCAGGAAACTTTGTGCGATTAGCCTGCCGTGGGCTGTAGAAGTTAACAATGCGCTTCAGCGGCTCCCCATGAACTTTCTGCATGATCCGGAGACTCGCACCAACTTTATTACTCTATCCCAAGCTGCATCTATACTGAAAGTAGATGGATCTTCACACAATCCCAGGAATATGTCTCATTGTTTTTTGATCAAGAAAGTATCCCGTAAAGAAAATCCCCGATCGCTGCAGAATCCAGAGAAATAAACGCCTCAGTGGACAAACTGAATAGAGAGAGATTACATACCATCAACAAAGGTAAGTAAAATTTCTGTGCAGTTACATTGTAAGCTCACTTATACCCTACCAGAATTGGCGACGCATTTTTATGTTTATTCTGATTTTATTTAAGATACATGTAACTTTTTGTTCTGCAAAACAATAATATACCATGTGAAAATTAAAATAACACGATCATTGTTATGGTTGGCGATTTAATGTCGACTTTGCCGGTAAAATGCATCGGGAAATGTCATAATTATATATAAATAAAACCCATGTCTTCTCATACCGTACGTCCAACTTATCTGACATTGGAATCTCAAACATTTTGCTCTGCAACTTGGATCCATATGCGGACAGATTTGATCATAAGGTCCCGGGCGCCAAACCCATTAGGAAAGTTTTCAAACTGATTCCTGGCATTAAAGTTCGCCGTGCAAGTGCAGTTATTATATTATATATACACCTCCTTCAACATAATTAATATTGACCATAACCTACGTACATTTTAGCGCATTGTGGGAAAAGCATATCTTATAGCAACTACTACTTACTGCATCAACTGACTTTAACGTTTAAATACATTAATTTGCAGTAACTTTTAATGCATTAGAAATACGGGATTCTTAGAAATTTATCATAAATGCTATTGCACTTTGGAAAGTATATCATGACAACTTGGCCATATTGGGCTATTTTCGCTATATATTTTAAGTATTAATTCATTTTCTGAAACACATTAACTGCACTGAAATACGAGCTTTAACGCTGAAATGTTAATCATAGCGAACCTTTTATCAGTTTATCAAGACTCAACTATCAGCTACTTGCGTTACGTAAACAGTTATGTCCGAGGCGGTGGCCCTAAATCCTGCGATCGCCGTCCGGCGTGCTTATTGTTCAAAGTTTGTAGGCTTTTCCAGCGGTTTGCTGTTTGCACTCTAGACTGAAAAATCAACAAACCCTTCATGCCTTTTGTGCTGCTGTAAGGCCGCTGTGTTTATTCTGGCCTTTCCTCCTAAAACATTAAACAATAAATTGTTATAATTATAGTGGCACAATGTTTCTGTTTGTATTTCTATGTATGTCTCTGTAAATAGCAGTTTTTTTATTTTTCCTTTTTTTTTTTGCACAGATGCTTGCACCTCAATTTACACGCGTGGTTGCTGCAAGTTCGCTATTTTGCTCTGTAAAGTTTGCATTGTTTTTTTTGTTCTTAACGCGGCTTTCATGACCCACCGACATGTAAGATTTAAAAAGGGAAAAACAGGCAGTACGTTCTACGTCCGATGGTCTTCGTAGTGAGACTTTTTAAGAGGATAATGATCTGGAGACCTTAAAGTTCTAGGTACAATTAGTATATATTTCTAGAGTGTACGGAATGCCCTTAAAACAAGGGGGGTGTTGAGAAACAGCGTAGGAAAGGCTCTAAATGGGCAATTTAAGTCCTCGAGAAAAAGGAGTTTGTGGGAAGTGTGCTTTTTAATGCGAGTGCCCGGTTGTGCCCATTAGCATAAGAAAAAAAAGTTTTAGTGCATTTGCCATTGTGCAGAATGAAGAGTTCCAGCAGTCAGGCGGAGGAGAGTGAAAAGATGTAAAGGAACGACGGGCATTCAGATGATTCAGGCGGGCTGGAGCTGTGGTCACCAGCCCCATGGACCCGCGATGGGGACGTCACTTTCATCTCCTCCACTGCCATTCTGCCACCGTTTTCACACGTCCCCCTCTGGCTGCCCTTTATTGATTGGGGGGTTTTTCTTTTCTAGAAATCTGTGGAAAATTTAATGAACCACACGCTGGAAAAAGGGGAGGTCGTTTTCTTAAAGGGTCACACAAAAAAACAGCAATATCAATGAAGCCCCAGTGTGCAGAGAGAAGAGGCATCAGGGACTCCTAAAAGAAGAGTGAGTAAAACTCCCCACCGGGCCAATTCAAAAGTTAAGACAAGGACGGGCTCTCTTTTACCCTGCAGACATGAACTCTGTACCAATTAAGCCATTTGGAAAAGCATGCCATTGGTGGAATCCTCCCAGAGAAAATACAGTGCCTGTGCAGTGGAGCCAGGCAAGAGGACGGGGCACCTCGCTGAGTGTGACCTATGCAGGCTGGATGCTGCTGCGTGCTACCAGGCTTTAGGAGGGATCTCCGTTATGACGGCCTCCGGAAAAGTAACAGGAAGTGGGCACACATAATGAGCCTGAGCCGTGTTTCTCCAGAGGTCAAACTGGCATCTCTGTAAAATCAGACCGTCAGGGGAGATGGCAAGATGTTAAGAAATCGTAAATTCAACTGTAAAAATGTTTATTCACACACACATACATATATATATATTTTATATTTATATATATAATAAATATAAAATATTTACTATCCACTTTATAGAGGAGCTTTTTTTGCCTGAAAATTAACTTGAACAAAAATATAGAGAAACTAGTAACTTGAAAAGGTTGTGAGCTAGTTTTGGAGTATTTCTTCATTGCAGCTGGTTGTTGCTTTTTACATGCATAGAAGGAGGCTTTTAGTGGACAGCAGTGCTGGCTGGGAGAGAGCATCCCCGTGCAGGCAGTAGCACATGCAGGAAGGTGCAGAGAGAGAGCACCGAGTTTTTGGGGAGAAGTGGAAGAGTCAGGAAAATGAGAACACGCTTGCTTTATGGAGTCCAGACCTCCTGGATCGTTTTTAAAAAATCACCTCCTGTTTTCATTTTGAGAAATGACCTTAATGTTAATCTAATCCACATTACTGCATCACTGCTAGAAATGCTGAGTTACATCTAAACAACTGCATGTAACAATTATATCAAATGTCACACCTCAATTATTTAATTAGCACTTTCATGCAATTAAGTGCCAGTGCTTCTGAAAAAGAAGGGGCATTTTCAAAAGTTAAAATGCAGCACGAAAAGCAACATAATCGTGACTGAGGGGAGATTAAAGCTCCAAAGCACACCTAAGGCGCCAGAATGATCATGCGGGCAGGGAATGTGGCGTGGCGAGCTTCCGCACGGCCACACGCCACTCCTGAAAAGCACAACGGCCACTGCACTGTGCCGGCACCTTGGAGGGCCGCCGTGAGGCTGGAGGACACTTGTGGCTGGACTGAGCTGATTGAAATTCAATGGCCGCGTGTGTCTCTGAAAAGCCAAGCGCGTCTCGGGATCACCTCTAGTGGCAGGATGGAGATAGAGGGATCAGATGGAGAGGAGGTCACACACGGAAAGGAGACGCTGAAGTGATTCCTCCTTTCATGGGATCCTCTCTCTACTCACTGATCTCCACTTAGCCTGGATGGGCAGAGACAATTCACACAGGCTGGAGAGTCCTCAGATATCTGGGGTTAATTAGACGTACTTCAGATATGCTGGGGGGGTGAACACCTCGTGGCGCTGTGCCACCGAGCCGCAATTAGACGAAGTGTTATGTCATAATGGACGGGGTTCCTGCATCCATTATCAAAAAGCACATGTGATTAGAGTCAGGAAAAAAAAACACATGAAAGTACGACATCACCGCAGCGGAATACGCCAGCATAACTGTTATGGTGTTTGACCTCATTAGCCGTTCGAATCCGTGTTAAGCTGTTCCCTCATGAGGTGATGGCATTCCCACATGTCCCGCCAGGAAGCCATGGAGCCAGGCTCTCCCATCTCACCCTGTTCCTCCACAGCTTTCCACCCAGGGACGTTCGTAATTGCGCACGCACCCTGTGGTGATTCCCATGTCCTCCCACGTACCAGGCCAGGCCCCGCTGCGGAGCATGCTCTCCAGCATCGCTTCTGCTCCCAGCTGCCCCACCTCTGCATCACCCCGTAACCGCGATATCGCCGTGAGAAACATGCCGTGGTTTGGCACATTCGTCAGGCAGGTTTGCTGATAGACGTCTGGTGAAACCCAGTGAGCAGTTTAGCCAGTTGTCTGCCTCCAGGTTTTCGGCTCTGGGCCCATAAATAGCAGTTTGTCCTTTGGAAGGGTGACGATCTCTGCTGATTATTCCGGTTTCTTTCTAACCTGTGACCGAGGCTGATTCCAAGTCATTTTTGGGTTGGCGTCCCACTGACACTGACCTCAGATTGCGAGCAGTTAAACGAGTCCGCAGCACCCGTCTGCTTTCTGTGATCTCTTCAGAAACATCCCACGTTCTACATCCGTACATTTTCATGTCATCACCATGCTGACACATTTATCTCTGTTTATCCTGTATTGGCCAGTCCCCTTTTTCCCCATAAACAAACTTGAGTGGACTGGAAGTGGCGACTCTTTCTAGCTTTTCTCCTCCCATGCTCTGGGTCTGCAGGGGCTCACCACAGGTGCCCGTGAATGAGTCTGCAATGGTGGGGGCCTTTCCTGTCAGATAGCTTGAGCACAAATGACATCCGTCCATTTAAGGAGAACACAGAAAAGCGGTTAAAACAGGCAAAACGAGGGCCTGATAAGTCTGATGAATCTTGTCCTTTAAACGCAGGGTTAATTATTTGTGGGCCGTTCATTTCTCTACCTCTAAATGGAAGTCATGTTGAATTTACAGTCGGTTGCTGAACACAGATGGAAAACAACATGGTTTTCGGATGGTTCTGGAAAGCCGTATAAACATTGTGCTTCCCTGATCTCTGGCTCCAGCTTTGAACTGGCAGCGATGCTGGTCCCCCCCCCCCACCCCCCAATTTTTTTCCACCCTCAAGTAAATGGTATTACTCACTGGGCTGGGGGGGGGTGCCCGACTGGCTGCGAGGCCGGGGAGGAAGAGTTGTTGTTGCTCCACTCTAATCATCACCGCGAAACACAACACATCTGCTTTAGGTTAGAGTGGTGCTCTTCAAAGCGGGGCGTGCTCACAGAGCCGTCAGCCGACCCGACGCGCTCCAGGCTGCCTGGATCAGTGGGGGGGTGGGGGGAGGGGTTCATGCGAGTACTGCCAGGCTAACTTTTGCTGCCACATATTGTGTCTGCTGGGGACAGAGAAGTGGGGAGGAGGCAGCAGAGACTGGCCGGCTCCTTCGTTACTGAGACACGTGCAGCAGTTTGCCATTTCAGGACCAGAATCTGACCAACAGCCTTCTATTCAGTGAGGCTGGCCTGAGCAGTGTGTCCCCTCGCACTTCCTGTCACCCCCTATTCTCCTGGCCCTCATTTAAAATGAACACGGAAGGGCGGGAGGAAGAGTTACCGATCTATGCAATCGGGCCGCTGCCCTCTCGGCCATTGCCGTGGTGATGCCCTGTAATGCCAGTGAAGTTACATGTGCTTTGGACTGATAACAATTATGGAGCTTTGCTCAAACAGGGGTCTTCGGGGCTGACATCGAGAGAGCAGAATATCAGGGAATCAAAGAGCTGGGACCCTAGGGGACCCAGGACGGGCTCCAGGGGCTGTGTAATACGACATGCAGTGTGGTCTCCACGGGCTGGCTTTCATTCATAAGTTAATGTTCTCCTGAACGCGCCCCGATGACGGGTCGTTACATCAGAGCCGGTGACAGGAGCTGGCGGCAGGGAGATCATTGTTATTAACTAACTCTCCCTGTCACCTCCATCAGCGATGAGACACACAAGCTCGCCTGAAATGCCACGGCACACAGTGACAGACGCCCGCCTGCCTATAGCCACTTTCCGCGCATGCCTTGGGCCGGCAGGCAGGAATGCAGTGTTTCCGAGGGAGGGGGCTCATTAGCTGGCCTCCCGTGGCCGGGGGTGGGACGTGTTCCTTGTTATGTGTGCACGCTGGGATGCAGCGGCGCTGAGAGCGAGCCAGACCGCAGACTCCACACAGGCGGGAGGACGTACAGCAATCCAACAGCCATGTGTTAGTCTTTAAGCTGTGGATGGGGCCCGCTTGTCACGGGGAACATGGCCCCTCCTTCCCTGAGGAGGCCAGCCTTCATAGCTCTGGCTCTCAGCATCCAGAGAGACATCCTGGGTGTGACAGGCCGTAGCTCCTTCGAACCCGTCTATCCAGTGCCATTACAGAGCCTAACCTGGGGAGACTAGTGTAGTTCCAGGGCCTAAATCCATCCTGGACCAAGTTAAACTGCAAAGGCTCATATACCAGAGAGTCAATAATACCATTGCTTGCTTATAATAATTAAGACAATTACACACAAGTGTCATATGTAAATCTGATAGATATGAATAAGTACTGAAAAGTGTATAAATGAATTTATATATACCATAAGGCATGCTGAAACACACACACACACACACACACACATTAATTTCTAGACTCTGTAAATATCTTGTGACTTACAAAAAAAGAGAAAAAAATTAGATGATTTAAAAACTTGACTCTTGCAGTGTTGGACAAATGTGCAGTGTGTGGTTCGTTCACATCCTGTGCTTTAGACAGCTGGTCAGGCTGCTGAAGGTGAAGCTGTAAAGCAGAGTCTTTAAAATAACAGAGTTTGGCTGCTGGGCTCAGCTAGGTGACAGCAAATGGTGGTGAATGACAGCACGGCCATGCTGGTGCCACAGAGCCACGCGGTTTGGCTGCTTCGGGCCTCTTTATAACGGAGAACCACTTAATGTAAAGCACACGACAACAGAGCCTGTGCCTTGTGGTCTCCTGACAAGGCCTGTTTGGGTCACATCTGCAGCGGCCGGTCTGGAGAGACGGGATGAGAGCTACAGAAAGGCGGAGGTTATGAACCCGGCAGCTGTGCAGCTCCGGTGAAGCCTCAGAGCAGCCACAGGATATCGCACCTTTTGGTGGGGGGTGCGATCCCAAACACCGGGCTCCCCGTGTCTTATGGCCACCTGGCACATCCGGTGCCCCCCCTCCGCATCTCTGAGTGCTGACTTCTCTGGAGAGAACGTCTGGCATCTTGGTGGCCAACTTCTGGGTCCTACACATAGCCGTCTGCTGAAGTTCCCCGCCAAGACCCCGGGGCTCTCCATTAAAAACAGCGGAACACAAACATAATCGCCTCAGGGTGGTATTTTTGAACATAACTTTAATGTCAGCTTGGTGGAAAACCGGATGCTCTTATGCACTGTTGTCCGCCACAGGCTGGCTGTTAGCACGTTAGCTTGCTGCGTGCTCTGCGGCCCCCGAAACACATACCAAACTGTGCAGTCATTATCTCACGGTATGAACGCGCCGGAATAGTTCACCCGCGTGAGGTAAACGGAGACGAATCCCACGCCGGCATCATTAAGGCTGAGTGAATAGTGTGCGGGCCGCGTGGGCCGCGATTACACAGCGTGACCTTTTGGGGTTGGGCTGGAATGGTTTGTTTGAATGACGGATGGCTGTGTGATTAGTCAGCGGGACGGCTCATGTGAGGCCGCTCGCAGTGATCATTCAGCCTGCGTGCCGGGAAACAGGCTGCACCTGGGATGGGGACACCTCCATTTGTCAGGTAGAGGGAGAGTGAAAGCATTTAATTTCTTTAGGCTCTGTGAAATAGGGTCACTCATCTGCATAAATCACACAACTAAATCTCCATCTTAGTATGAGCTCCCTAAAAAACACACATTCCAGACTCTCTGGATCACGCAACATCATCAATTTTATGATAGTATTACAACAGTCACAGTGATTAGTCCCTGTTAAAAGAACTTTAAAACCTGGAATGTGAAAACAAGGTTAAATTAAAGGTGCACTTAAAAATATCCAGAGGAAATCTACACTGGTGTAGCCACAGCGAGATCCTGCCTTGCAGGGGTGTGTATGTGTGTGTGTGTGAGTGTGTGTGTGTGTGGGGGGGGGGGGGGACAGCTGCATTTTGTCTGGATTAACTGGGTGCTTTTTTAACATAGGAAATAGGGCTGTGGGTTGGCCAAAGAACTGCACTTTGTCTTTGGGAAATTGAGACAAGGAACATCTAACAGGGACAGCAGCTCACCTGGGGATTAAGCAGCGGTGCTGCGCAATGGGGTCCCTGCACACAAACTTGTCAAACCGTCCACTCTCTGTGCCAAAAGAAACATTATACACTGTAAGCCTCAAGCCTTGAAGCGCTTGTCCATTTCGCCTGGTCGGCTGCGATCCTGCTTCATAAGAAGCAGTTTCCTGTGTCGGGCTTCGAGGAGCAAAAAGAGGGGGCTTTAATTCGGGGATGTCATTAAAAAAAATACATTTAGCGATGTGTGAAGCAGCGCTCAGAGCTACAGGCGAGAGGACAAACAAAATACAAGACTTTTTGTTTTAGGATTGCATTCACGGATTTTTATGCAATTGAGGTTTGTATTGTGGGGACCTGAAAAATGTCTCCAAAAGCTAATAAGTAATAGTAGCAATGTGATAAATACAAACCAGAACAGACACAGAAATACACACATGCAGACAGAATGGCAGGTTTTACAGGTGTAATTAAACACATACAGTCCAGGAAAGGGGATGTGTATCACGTGTGTCACATCACGTGCCGCTCATCCTTTAGGATGTGGCCGTATGTAATCCCAACGTGACGACTTTAACCCCTACCCAGCCCTTTTTAGCTTTTAAGTAACATTTTCAGTTTTTTGATGGCATTCACAGATCTTTGAGGGGACCTAAAAAATGGTCCCCACAACGTCAAAAAGAAACAGGTCTTTATTATATTGAGGGGGCCTTTTTGGTCGTAACGTAATGTAATATAAACATAACATACACACACACACACACACATGCTACACCCTGAGAGCAGGCAGTGGGTCGGGTCACTACTCAAACTCAAAGCAAATATTCCTGCCACCAGCAGCCTTCCAGGAGATTTTTAGACTCGAGACTAAGGGCTTGTGGTTGTTTTTTTGTGCGTGCAATGCTGTATCAAAAAGCACACACCAACAGGCAACAGGCAACAGGCAGAGAAGCACATCCTGCAGAGAAGCACATCCCTCACACAGGCCGCCTAAAGAGAAAAACAAGGAAGACGCCACCTAACCATTTAGAAGCATGGGCACTCAGGGTGGCTAGAGCAGCAATCGCACAAGGGAATATAAACCAAGCAGCCAGCGTCGTAGGGACCGCAGCGAGTCACCGGCACTGAGTCAAGCGTCACTTCAGCTCCAACTGAACAGGCCAGGGGTGAGGGGGAGCACACCTTCCCCATTCTACACTGGGTGAGATTTAAAAATAAATAAATAAGACGACAAAAGCCAGAGCAAAGGGACGCTGAAGATCTTCAAACAAAGGGGCCTTTTGATACTGTTTGTATTCCTCTCAGCGCAGTGAAAGGCACAGAGCTTTAACTGTGCTGGGGTGCGGGGGGGGGGGCTGCTGGAGGTGCTAAGTCAAACATCACTTTCAATACAATGGTTGTGTGTGTGTGGGGGGGTGAGCTCTCCAGGAGCTGCTCCTGTTAATTACCCCTTTAGAAGCTCGCGCCATTGGGCCGGCCACTGGGACAAGCAGCCCTCCATCTGCGTGGAGGTGATGATGGTGGCCGTGGCTGCAGCTAACGGATCGTTATGCATCTTCAGCTGGCACACATCTGGGTTTCATCTTCCCTGTTTATGATGCTAACCTCAGAGCACTTCTCTGAAATATGGCCCAACAGCTGCAGTCCATTTCCTGTTGATAATTTCAAAAGCACACAACAGTTAAGGAGGACGCTCTTCGTGATTTACGGTCCGCCGCCGTGTCTCCATGTGCCACTAAGTGCTCATCCTTCTGCCACACGATCAGTGATCCCCGGTTCACAGCCCTGTCAGGAGTAGTAGCACATTTTCCCATCTTACATGCTTATCAGAGTCTAATTCATGAAAATGTTCACTAGTTATGCTGTAAACTGGATCACGGGAAGCCCCCCCAACACCATGACCCATGGGGCTGAAATTGTGAATGTTAGTTATCCAGAAGGGATTTCACAAAATGCGTTAGAATGTGTGATCACCCATAACAATCTCACCAGCGAGGGGGCTGTCCCTGTTTATTGCCCCCTGAATATTGGGGGGAGGGGCGAAATCCCCTCGCACCTGCCCCACCCCTTCAAAGTGACTGGTACATTTAAAGGGAGCAACCAACTTTGCCTGTCACAGCCTTGCAGCCGTGTCACAGACCCACAGCTGAAGAGCGAGACGCTGGGAATGCGAACACTACCAACGGCTGCTGCTGTAAATAGGCAAACACAGATGTCAGGTGTAATCTCTGTGTTTTCAGATGGGAGGAGGGCAGGGAAAATAAGTGCTTTAACAGATATACTCTTTGGCCCTTTTCATGTCTGCACAGATCAAATTTTCAGTTATTAAAATAAGATTTGGCCATTCTGGGGGCTGGGCTGATGGTATCACTCAACCTGATTAAAATCTTTCTTGCCATCGTGGGAAAAAGAGAGTTTTTTATGAGCGTATGTAATTCACAGTGTGGGCCACACTAAAGTGGACGAGCTCGCCTTCCTTACACAGGTGGACAAACTTTGCACTGCTCGTATAAACAGAGCCAGGACTTAACAGGGGTTACTCATGTAATCTCTTGTTTTGATAATTCGTTGACGTGTATGTCGCATAAATACAGTAAATAGTCTGAACAGCAGGGGCCAGATGAGCCATTTGAAAAGGATGGTGAAAGTACAAAAGGGTGGGGGGAGAGAACTATGTTCATTTAATCTGGAAGATTTAACCATTAACCATAATTTCACCACTGTTCTTTATTCCCCATTTAAATTTTACTTTAAAATGTAAAGCGAGTAGACAGAAGTTTCCAGGCCTTCCACACGGGGGGCAGGGGGGGGGGGCACTCCCAAACACTCCCCGTATTGATTCCTGCCATGTGGCCCGGGGTCCTGATCCCATCCCCGCTCTGAGGCTCTCGCTCTCGTCCGCCACCATCTGTTTGGTTCTCGACACCTGTACTGCACCGCCGCCACCTCACCGGCCGCCCGTCACTGGGGAGGAGGCCTGCAGTGTGGGGCAGATCTGCCGCTCTGTCCGTCTGTCTCTCAGAGGCACACAGGGAGGGACCATGAACCCTAAATCCCCAAAATGTAAAGCTTCACTGCAAAGTTTTTTTTCCTTTACCTAAATGGCCACAATGCCAAAGAAGCGTTCACTAAAACAGTGTGGTTCAATGGCAGGACAAGGGAGGCCACCTTCCATCGCAGGACACTGACTTTATCAGGAGACACACACACACACATATACATCACACACACATATATATGAATGGTACCACTTTTTCAATAAAGCTCCCTTTTGCCCCTTGTAAATGGATGTAACAAAAAAAAATGCTCCATTAATAATTGTCTATTAATAAGTGTTACAACCTAATTAATAACCAGATTATAAACCATTTACAAACTCTTTATATCTTTATATGGGTAGTATTATTGTAAAGTGGCACTATATATATATATATATATATGTTTGTGCGTGTGTATTTATATATAGCTATATGTACACACACACACACATATATATATATATATATAAAATACATACTTAGTTATTGTCATTTTCCAAGACACACGGTACCGTTATATATTATCTTGTTTGTTAAATGTGTTTTTCAGGATTTTACTTCTGTATTATTTAACCTATTTGCACTACATTTACTTGTCTGCATTATATGTACCGTCTTGCATTTTATCTTGTTTTGTACTATATGCGCAAACTTTACGATCCTTGCTATGATCAATAAAGTTTTTCGTATCTAGTAAAGGTGTACATAAACTATACTAAAGCGCACAGGACCCGAAAAGATGGGAAGTAAAAAAAATCACCCCAAAGGGAGGGACACCACAGTAAATTCGATAAGCTTCTCCTTGGTCCCTTCAGCAGCCCGTCTAGCTATAGGAGAACATAACCCCTATCAGCGCCTTTATGGCAGTTATGGAGTTACCCGGGGTCAGGTACCCTTACCTTAAACTCTCACAGAGGTGGTCAAATAAAGTCCTTTTTAGATTAAGTATGATTTGAGTGGCGAACAAGCCCGCGATCAGTGCTGGCCGAAAACAAAGCAGAAACAGATGCCTGCTAACCGCGTTAGCCGCTCAGTGCTAATCGGCTTACCTCGACAGAAAGACGGGTGACCGGCGCGCGGACGGGCCGCGCGGAGGGCGGTAGTGCGCGCGTTATGGGGAGCCACGAGCGAGCTGCATCTCCCAGGGCTGCGGTTAGGCAAGGAGAAGGGAGTACAGAAGAGTGAGGTACATCACCCGGGGTTACGCTTAGGCAAAAATGGGCACGATAGGTACATAAGTAGGTAGAATCGTGGGGAACCCCCCCCGCCCGGTTGGCAAAATTTAGCGTGGGGAACCACAAAGGCCTGGGCCAATTTTTAATCCCAGTCCAGCCGAGGCCAGAAGAGTGAGATATTACACGGGGTTACAGTTAGGGTTAGGGAGAAACAATGTGAGGCAGAAGAACAAGATATATCACCCGGGGTTAGGGTTAAGCAGAAGAAAGGACAGACAGAAGAGTGCGATATATCACCAAGGGTTAGGAATAGAGAGAAGCAAGGAAAGTGAGATACATCACCCAGTGTTAGGGAGAAAAATGGAACAAGGAGAAAAGTGAGATGTCACACGAGGAGAGTGCAGACATGTACGGAGTGTTTTAAAAAGATACACTGAAACAGTTTAACAACCCACATTCATACAATGTGCGTGAATAAATCGAAGTTTTCTTTCGTTTTAAAGTAGATTTTCCCAAACATACATAAATAAATAAGAAAAACCCATACTTTATATTTTGCACACAGCTGTTGCTTACACTTTGACAAATTCATTCGACTGAATTAATAACAATATTTCAACATAGACTTTGGTTCATCTCTCACCCGCCTAGTGTTACTTATACTGCGTATTATACGCATACACACGTGATTGTACATTATTATATTTTTACAACAGTCCGTCTCATATAGTTGTTACTGAAGGTGTCCAGTGAGGCGCATGGATGAATCGATGAATCGACGCTGGAAATTGACCCGCCCTATCCTGTTTTATACGATAGTGTCAGATCCTATAAAATACCATCCGAACGCATAAGATCACATCCGATCCTGTAAGATCTTATCCTATAAGATCATAACCTATCCAGTACTATCCTATAAAATCCTGCCCTCACCCCATCCTATAAGATCATATCGTATATTTTATTATTCTGTGTTGTATCGTACGTATTCTGTTGTATTACATCGAATTCAACAAACTGGAAGTTAAAAAAAAATCTCCCGCAGTGTTTCGCGGTTTTATGGTTAAATATCACAACATGCTAAATGCGGCACGGCAGATGTAACTTTTTAAACTAAGAAAACCTTCCAATGAAATCGTTGGAAAACCTTGAAAAACATCCAAATTGCCAAAAATAGGCGAATATTTTCCAGTGATGGGAAACATAAATAAATTATAGTATAATGTTAACAAACTCAGTTGTACTTCCATACAAATTTCTGTTTATCCTTTTTAAAGTGATATTTTCTCTGCGACGTTTAAGAGCTGCCATATGCTTTGCGTTCTCCGGTAATGTTATTGTTAATTCTTAAGGCTTTCTGTTTAAGCTGTAAAATACCCCGTGTCAGCATCATGTCTCACATAAGGATACGTTTATATAGCTGGCACACACTTTTGGGAGAGTCCCAATCTGGGCTTTCCCTTCCTGTCTGTATCACCTTGAATGTGACGTTTTATTTCCCTTGAGGAGTCTGACAACATAGACACAAAACTGTGCAAACAAGTCTTATAAAAAGTCAACACCACAGTTAGCTTTGAGTGGCATTTAGGGCTAAGCCCCCCCCCTCAGGCCAATCCTGGCTGGCATCACTGGTTGAAAGGCAGCCGAAAGAGACGCTTTCAAGCCGATCTGCCTCTTATTTGCACGGCACCAGGGATAATCTTGTATGTTCTTCAGAGTTAAACAGGTGGCTTGCTGCCAACCATCTTCCTCTGCGGTGGCTGTTTGGGCACGATGGGTGAGCCAGTTTGGGACGGGAACTAGGCGGACGGGCAGGCCGCGCCTTGTCCCATTGACAAACCGGCGCCCCCGCCGGCTTTGCAGACTATTCCTGTGGTGAGCCGTCACCAGTGACAGAATTTTGGAGAGTGTCTCCTTAATATCTCACAGTTTAATGGCGCCCATACCTCTTTTCAAGTCTGTTCAGGCAGCAGCTTGGGAAGGTCTCAGAGGGTGATTTGGTGCAGGCTTAATGCATTTCCTCTGCTTTATTTTAGTTTCTTGCTGTATGATGTGAAGATATACCAGAGTGTTCGTTTGTAAAGGCAAGTTTGTGGGATCTGGTTCAAGCTGACAGATTGCCTCATTTACTGGAATGAAAAATATCACATTTCCCAGTTTCAGATTACTTTTTGATAAGATTCTTGTGTTGTATACTGCACAACCCAGGACAGACCACTGGTCAACTTAGAAATGTTATGCAGGACTCCCTCTGTTGGAACAAAGGGGCAGTGCCACTTTGCTGATTATTTGTGATTTTGTAGATGACAGAAATCATCGATATAAAATGATGCAATGCCAGGAAAACTGGCATGCAGATGCTCATCCTCTGTTTCCCTGCTTTATTTTCTTCCTCGTAGAGTCCCTGTTGTCTAGCATGGAGACCTCTGCTCCGATGGCCACGGAGAAGAAAGAGTGTAAGGCCTCCAGCCTTGATGGAAGCGGCTTCTCTGACCTGACAAAGAAGCCATCTCCGACGACAGTGGCCCGTGGTATGCCATTCCGCGTCCTCCCCATGTGTGGCACAGAGGCACCTTGACCCCTTAGGCATAGATGCCCAGCTTCATTGACCAGAGGCGCCATTTCTTGACGACACGCAGCAAGGCCAGCAAACAATTACATTTCGACAGAGGGAGGATGCACATAGCTGTAACTCACCGTGAATAGGTGGTTAGAAAGAGCATCTTGTCAGCAGTGACTTACAGCACACTGTTGATATGAGCTTTAGTGTGAACCATGTGACCACTGTTGTAGTCAGGTGACTACAACAGAGGCGGGCAGAAGTCTAAGCAGGTACCTTACTGCTTATTGATACATAAATACAGATGAGGAGAGAGGTGGTCTCCCCCCTAAAGAATAGCTCAGGCTGAAAAGAATAAAGTAATTTGACTCCCCCCTACCTCACTGTGCAAGTGTGGCCCAAGCTCAGCAACGAAGAGGGAAGCCTTGTCAGAGAAGGCGTGATAAAAGTAGCGGATAATGAGTGTGAAAAGCCCACTCTTACCTCCAGACTGAAATAAATTACTTAAAATGGCCGCTGTGGCAGCAGACGACTTGGTCCTTCTGAGGGTGACAAAGATGCTGATCGGAGGCTACTTTTGAAATGTTAATGGGCCTTTTCAAAACGTGGCACTTTTACTGGTTAATGAAGGGTCCGGTGGCCTGTCACGATGCTGCAGTCACGCCTCAAATCGTTCATTAAATGTTAAATAAACGTGTAAGAACTGGGGCATTTTCAGAGAGACACTAGAGACCCATGCAGAAACCTTATTCGGGTGTTCCTCCAGATTCTGGTTTTGTTTGTAATAGAATAATTAGCAAAATGAGAGGCGGAGGCCTCGTATGGTTTGTTTAGGAATCTCCAGCGATCAGCTTTGCCAAACCACGCTCTCCACCGAGCCGGGCTGTAATTTCACTTTCCCTTAGGATGACAGCCAGGGTCATGTTCTCTTTTGTCTGAGCAAAGAGAAAAACATGGTAAGGATTCAAATAAGCACCAACACGTTTTGCCAGCACCAGACAACGAGCGGCTCATGTAAATCTAGGCCGGGTTTGTGCTTTAATGTATGTTTATGCTGATGTGAGTGAAAAGTAACGAGGCCTCGCCTTCATCCTGGCACCAGAGCGGGCACTCTGCAGGCACGGAGCGAGAGAGAGAGAGAGAGAGAGAGAGAGAGAGAGAGAATGCACATTTTAACGATGTCAGTGAATGCGTGATGAAAGCCTCGCATAATGAGGCTGCAGGACCTTGTTCTTACCTCCAGAGTATAAAAGTAATAAATAAGTTAAAATGGCCAGTGGAGCAGTGGACGAATACTCCTTCAGAAACTGACAAAGTTCCCGATTGAAGGCTACCTTTGAAATGGTAATGGGGCTTCTGATAATGTGCCCTTTTTACTGCTTGATGGAGGGCTTGGTGGCCTGCCATCATATAGTAATAGTCATTAATTGTTTATTAAAGGAACCACAGAAAATAGAGCATTTGTACTCATTCCGGGTTCTTTGCGACGCCCGTTTCAGGGAGACTGTCCTCAGCAGGCATCCGGCATGAGATTGTTGTGCTGTCTGTACTCCTGCACGTTGACCCATCGCTGCCTGTCATCCTGCCTCGTTTCAGCCATTAATGTCATAAAACTGTTTGACTTCAGTTTTTCTTGCCCCACTGAGTGACTTTTAAACTTCAAGCCACGAAGACCTGCTTTTCAACATAGGTTTTCAATCTTAGCTTTTGGCTTCTTGAAAAGGCAGTTGTCTACCTATATATTTAATACCTTCATCTCCTTAAATGATCACATGTCTAATCTGAGCAGCCATAATGGAATGCTGAGGTCATATATTTCAATACCCTGAGCCTTTGCTTAGACACCTGTCTAAGCCTGACATCTTCACAAGGGCTTTAGGAACGTTAATTGGAAGTTCAAAGGCCTGCAGACTGGAATCTAGGAGATTATTAGGTGTGGACTATTACTCCCAGATTGGCTCTCCAGCCCTGCTTTGGGCCTCCATGGGGTAAAGTTGATTGTAGGCCTGACTGTGTCCTGCTGTCTAGTTCATGGCATAGAATCTACCAGAATGTGCTCACTAGCAGGACCCTGGCCCATCTGTACGATGAGCAGCGGAACCCAGCAAGAAACACTGAAGGGTAATCGGTTGAAAATGTGACACACTTAAGGAAAATCTGAAAGCATGAGCAGGAACCACAGAGAGGGGTCTCTCAGAGCCAGCGATCCGTCTTCCAGATCTTCGGCGTCAGAGGAAGCAGGTTGCCAGGCCGTCCCAGTAGCAGGTCGCTATGCAGGACTTCATTTGTGAGTGTCAATATCGCAGCATCTCTGATATTTCAGACAGGAAAAAAAACACACGGGGCCCTTTTCCACGGTGAAGAAGTGGAGCGCCATTATTCACAACTGACACTTCCTGAAAGGAGAGCGTGGGCCAGGCGTCGGGCGCCATCTCGGGGAGCCGCCGCTGCGCTGACTAACTACCGAGTCACAGCACGCTGCCACCGCCACGAGAGGAAGCCATCCGTTACCGCCAGGCACTTTACCGTTATTGTTATTTATGCGGACCGGGGGAGGCAGGCGGCTCCGCAGACCGGCGGCCGGGGGGTGACGGGGGAGGCAGGTCGGCAAGGGAAAGGTCACGAATCTCGGGGATTCGCCAGGCGGCGTGTTTCCGGAAAGCAGATATACGAGCCCGTTAGCAGCCCTTTACTGCCGCCGCGTGCCACACCGTTGGCCTGTGTCCCCTCTGTCGTGCCCACCCCCCGTCCTCCAGCGGCTCTATTAACCCTAACCCCCCTCCTCCTCTTCACGTCTCTGTCCCGTGTTATTTATCTGGAACAATTTCCCCCTCTATCAAAGAACAGGCCTGGCGTGGAGTTTTAATATGTTATTTACACATAAATACAGGCTATTTACGCGGCCAGGCAGGATAGATGGACTGCTGCTCGCCGCCAGCCTCTTATATCAGCGTTTAACAATCTGCGGCGCTAATAGAACCATTTATCACGCGGCAGCGAGGGCGGCGTGCTGGTGCGCCGGCACGCTGGCTGGGCGCACGGTCGGCCCCACTCCCCAGTGGTCTGTGGAAACAGCACGTCTGTAATGAACGTCTGTAAAGGCCGCAGCGGCTGGCCGCGACAACAATGTGCCAGTCAATTAAAAGCTGAAGCAGGTGCACCCCCCCCCCCCCCCCCCCCAATGTTCTCAGGGCGTTATTACAGCCCTGCGGCCTGAAGGAAGTTTCCAACGCAAGTCCATTACGTGGGACCCTAGGTGTAAATGAGGGCCGCGAAGCTCGCACCTCCATCCAGCTGGTGCCACACGGTACAGGCCAGACCGAGCTCTGCGCCTTGTTAATAAATTAACATAGCTGCCTGTGTCGTCTTCCTCAGCCTATTACTGACTCTGTGACCGACTATATGGAGCGACACTCGCAAACTGCCGTTCGCTGAGATCTTGAAGGTTTAGACAGCAGAAGTTTCTTATACGTCATGTATATGTTGATATGCATTAGGTATATGTTCAAACACTCTGTATCTTTGGGAAGATGGCTGCTGGATGAGGATGTGCTTGTGTTCGGCTTTTCTTGGGTTCCTCTTCCCCAAACTAGGCCAGCGGGATGGTGGCTGCTAATGATTTGATTAACTGGGTTTGGTGGCCCCTCACATACATCTTGTTGGTAGTGAGTTTGTTGTGTTTGTGCTTTGGGGGGGGGGGGTGGACTGAGGGAGAAATTGATGCTGTGCACTAAGCGCTTCTGCTTCTCCGAGACAAATTTCTGCTGAGTCGGGGGTCCCTGGGGGGCACAGGGGGGAGGGGGGATACTTAGCACCTCTCTGTACAGCCCGGGACCCTGTACCCACACCCAGGGAGCATCAGAGAGGGAACGTGGGTAGGAGGGGGGGGTGGCACAACAGAGATGGATTTTCACACAGTTTGCCTCACTTTAGCAATGGGGGGGTAACATCATTGGGGGGGAGGGGGCTGAGCCCATTACAGAGGAATCTGCTTAATTAAAGAAGGGGCTGTTTGTAATCAGCAATGAATGCGTCAATTAAGTGGAAAGTATTCTGGGAAATAATGGGTATAAATTATGGAAACAAATAGAGAAATATGTAGAGAGCAGTACCGGCCGGCCCATTAGGCCGCGTGGCGTGTCTAATTAGCGGCAGCAGCGTTATAAACACAGTTATTGTGCCTAATTACTGAGTGGTAAGTCAGCAGTTTGACAAACGGGGTGGGGGGAGGGGGATTTGCCGTGCCAGCAGCTCTCTAAGAGCAGTGGCTTAGTGGTAAGGGCCATCTCATTATCACCACCGCAGTGTCGCCCCGGTGACAGCTACAGATGGGGGTCCCCGACGCGCAGGTCCCCGACACGCAGGTCCCCTAGCAGTGTGGAGGGACCTGCTCTGGGGGTCAGACCACTGGCAGAGAAGAATGCCCCCAAAAACGGCCCAGTGTTCAGCAGGCCATGGAGGGGGATGGCCACTAATCTTTCTGAGAGGGGAATTCTTCTTCTGGCCCATTGTTGGCAAGGGCAGGGTGGGGGGGGGGGGGGGGGGGGGGGTACTGACTTTGCGGGTAAAGCCTGCAGACACTGACAAGGCAGCATGCCACAGTGTGAAAAGCTGCACGTTCCCATAGCAGTGAAGCTATCTGGGTTAAATAACTGCGCTCTCCTCTACGTAGCCTGTAGTCAGGCTCACTCATAAAAACACTTGCTTTCGGTAAATGCTACTTGCAAGGAGAGCTGTTTGAAACATCCGACCATGTGATACGTGGACCATGAGAACTCAGGCTGGGAAAGCCGAAAAAAAAAGAGCGGCAGGGACGGGACAAGGACTCCAGATTCCAGGATTTTACCTATATTGAGGCTACGTTCACGGAGACACAGGGGTTTCGACTTGGTTGTGGTCTCCATCACGTCAGTGTGTGTCAATAATGCCCAGCCTGAGCGGATATCTGAGACGGCAGAGGGTTACAGGAAG